GACAGACTTTGAATTGCCTTGGAAATATTTCCCACTTGTTTTGTTTGAGCTTTTATGATTTCTTACTGTTGCTTTTCCCATTGATTAGAAACCCACAAAGCATGCCTGTATAACTTACCCAGAGTCGCTTCTTGTTTTAATAAGTCAAAAAGATTTCCATAGTTCCTAAAAGCTAGGTATATTGGGTTATTAACTTCAGTGTTTTTCTCAGCAAGCTAGTTTATGGTATGCAGATGATCCATGGTCATGCAACTTATTTTTTCCAGTTAGAGCTCATAAGTTTTCTTTCGCCAGTCTGGCATATTCCACCACTGCCACCAAACAGCAAAAGCCAAGGTCACACCAGTGGTCTCTGTCCTGCAATCCCTAGACAGCCTCGCCAAAGTCTGGCCAGCTATAACTTTTCATTGGTCAGCTGACCTGACTTCGGCAAGCCTGTCTAGGGATCCCAGGACAAAAGACTAGGTGACCTTAGCTTAAGTTGCAGCATAAAGATTGCTTGACTGTTACAGAAATACAGCTCTTTATTACTTAAGTCTTGACTTTAGAAAGATATATGAGTAGCATTCACTGCCGCCATCAATTTGATATGCACAGGAACAGTGCTATCTGGGAGAAGAGAATGTGCAAGAGGTGTGGAAGAGAGGGATTATGTACAAGTGATGAAATATATGTGTATAACATACATTATGTACAATACAAGACTAAGAACTGGAATATGAGTACAGAGGAATTTCATCACATGTTAAGGATTTCAAGTGCCGCCATTTCTTATATCAAACTACATAAAACAAACCCTTTAAGCTCATTAATTATTTCTAGGCAAGTATCATCGAAGTTCTCTGTCTTCCAAGTAAAATTATTCAACGCTCATTACTGAATTCAAGTAAATATCATTATAGCCCGTAATTAAATTCTAAGAAGTATGATCAAAGCTCATTGCTGAATTCTAAGTATGATCAAAACTCATTAATGAATTCTTAGTCTCATCAAATATCAATAATAAATTCCTTGTGTCATCAGATTTCAGAGGTAATGCATTAGTATATAACGTAAGTATCTCCTCTAAAATACCATTTGGGTAAAATAATCACAAAACTTTTTACACTTTTTGTTAAGTGTTAAGGTTGTATCACATGATACTAAAACCTAATTTACAAGTCTTCCGTTATCTATTTCACTGCCAAGATTACATTTAATATTTTCCATATTGCTTCATCAACCTGCTAGCAGTGTTTGTATTGAAAAATATTTTTTTTGTAGTTAAAACAACACATTATCTTACTGTTGCCTTCCGAGACCTAGATTAGTCTTTCCTGTGTCAGTTGGTTACTGTAGCTTTGGTTTAACTTTCATGGTTTTAGGAATTTATTAAGTTAGCTAACAGAAGGGTCTAGCGATATTTGAGTTTCCTAGCAAGAGGTATTCCAAGGTCTACTTGTATCTACATTCTGCTTGTTACATTCAGACCTTGCTAGCTCAGCATTTCCAGGCACAGATTTGAGATTTATACAAAATGCAAAGTTCTCTTGTGCAGTGTGTATTCTGATGTTAAGTACAATATTCGTCACATATAGAGTGAGTCTTGGAAAGTTACTAATGTGCCATGATTCAATATACACTTTGCAGCTAGAAGTACCTTTGTTTCTTCTAACTCATATTGCATATTGCTGAACTTGCCTCATTCGTTTGGGATATCTTTTGGAAACTATTTTCAGCATAGTTACCATGAGAGGTATGCTTGAAATGCACTCTGTGAGTCTCAGACCGTGAAACCTGAGCCTTGATTTGATTAGAAGACTGCAACTAAATGTATTGTTTCCAGTTCATTTCGCGTAGCATGAACCCTGGCATAAACCTTTTTCCGCTGTTCTCTCTGGGGGACTTTGCTTGTAATACACGCAGGGCTGACATTTTCTAAGGGAGGTTGGGCCGACCATGCTGTTTTTTATTCATTACCATTCGGGTGTTATGCGTATTGGTACGTTGCATACAGATATGGGCTAAGACGTGGATTGTACTGTCATACAAGGTTGGCCTCACTATTCTATGTTTTGTATTACCTTTGGATTTCTGTGAGATAGCGAGGTTTGTCGGTGGCTTAAGAGAACGATGGGTTCAAGAACCTATTGTAGATTGGCTACCTTTCTCATATTTAGTCTTCGTAGACCCCAAATAGAGTGCAAATATATATTATTCTATCAAAAATGGACGGTAAGTTTAGTTCTGATCTCTTGTTCTCTTTCCTTGCTGTTCTCGGGGCGCCGAGGATAATCTGCGTAGTTTAAAGATTAATAATTGTTCTACGATAACTTCTCTGCTTGCAATGTCAAAGGCTGTCTCAAGGTTAAAAAAAAAAAAAAAAAAAACAATGTGCTTCCGTGAGCTTGAAAAGTACTCGGCAGAGCAATGCTGTATGCTATGTCCCGGTACAAATCTGTACGGTCGTGGAGATCATTTACCTTGCTACTTGTACCTGAATGTTCAAAACCATCATTTC